GACTCAGCAAGTAGGTTACAAGTAGGGTTATAAGTACCCCAAATGGAGTTACCCTAATTATAGCCCTACTTAAAACCGACTTATATAGTAAGTCCCCTGGGCCTCTAAGCAGGTTCGCCTTAGGCTGCTCCTCCGCCTCCTCCTTGCTGCGCGTGCACTCGTTGGCCCCAGCAGCAGCATCCCAGAGACAAAAACACCTTGATTAAGGGATCTACCTTAAACCATAAAAAGGAACCCCAATAAGACTTACTAGGTCCTTATCATGGACATAAAGGCCCCCTACCCGCCGAAGGGGTTTTGGAGTCTCCGGGCAGCATCCCTGGCCCATGCCACCTCCTCCAGGCTGATCCGCTTGACCAGATCTCAGACCGCTGACTTTGCCAAGCGGAGTATGTATAGGGGCTTCAATAATAAGAATCGGGTGTTTGGTGCCCATTATAGGATTATACTAAAATGCGGAACCCTGAGATTGTAAATTATTTAGGCCCCCTGTATATCTCAGCTTCCATTTCCTCGTCGGCCACCTGGCGGCGCTTGGCCTCTCGCCTGGAAACATCCTGCAGCACTTTGAACGGAAATACGATTGATGATATAAATCCTTTACAGGAATCTATAGGGGTTTCCTGTAAAGGGATCTATAAAGGTTCAGGTTTTAGGGTTTCGGGTTGATGATATATAAATCCTGCATTACCTTCATGACCCTAGACTATGGGAACTATGGTATAGTCCTTACTATGGATAATGCAGGATTGATATCATCAACCGTAACACCCCGTCCCAACCAGGAACCCAAACCCTGCAGCCGAACCCTAAATCCCAACCCTAAGTCGTCAAGCCGAAAACGTTATAAACCTTATAAACCTTGTAAATTTTAAACCCTAAGTCGTAAAAGCCTGAAGCCTGATAAAACCTAAATCCCTAAACCCTAAGCCTGAAGCTCTGAGTCTGGCACGCCAAGACTGGAACGTCTCACAGCTGCCCTAGGATCCCACAGCAAGCCCGTAGCCAAAAACAACTTAGAAGCCCGAAACAAAACAAAACAATCTCTAAGCACCGAAAGTTCCAAAAACTCTATAGTAGAAGCCCAAAAGTTGAAAACGTTCCATAGGGAATCTCAGCACCATTTGACCTTAATCAGGTTTCCAACTTTATGGGGTTTACTGTAAGCCTTTACCCCAAAAGCCCAAAACTAAAGCAAAACGAACACAGCCGCACCGCGACGGAGCCATGGGTCGTGAGGTTCGAGAATGGGGAGCCCCAACTACTCCGGTGTGGTGCATCCACTTGAGCCGAAAAATTAAATTTTTTCGGTGGATTCAGGTTTTCAGGGGCCCGGGCCTCGGGGGCTTTACTTGGGGGTTTTAGGGGCTTTCGGGGTTTTAGGGTTTAGTCTTCTAGGGGTTTAAACTTTTTCGGGAGATATGGGGGGTTTAGGGTTTAGTCTTTTAGGGGTTTAGGGGTTTGGGGGTACCTTATTTTGGGGTCCTTATAACAAGGATCCTACTATAAGGGGTACTATAATAGGGTTTAGGGGTTTGGGGGTTTCGATTTTTCGGGAGATTTGGGGCTTTGGGATCTTGGGCGATTTGGGGCTTTAGGGTTTACAGGGGTTTAGGGTTTAGGGTTTAGGGTTTAGGGTTTACAGGGGTTTAGTCAGTTTAGTAGGGTAGTTGTACTTATAACCCATACCAAGGGGACTTCAACCCTAACCCCTCGAAAACCCTAAAACCCAAATCCCTGAACCCGAAACCCTAATCCAAATCTAGCCCCACTTACAACTGCCTGTGAACCTCTAAGTAGACATGAACCAAAAAGCCGGCCCTTCCGAGACTTTTCCAGGATCCCATTCAGGGCGTAGGATTTATGGTTTAGGGTTTAGGGTGATTTAGTGGTTTAGGGTTTGACTGGGTTGTAGTTTTGGAGCCCTTCAAAGTATTATAAATAGGTACCTCTATAGGAACTTTATAAGGGAAACTGCGAAGTTTCCCAAAGTGCCACCTAGTTGAGGGTTTAAAGGGAACTCCAGAAAGTTGGAATATGGTTTCGGGGTAGGATACCCTACAATTTACCATAAAGGGTTTAGGATGATCATATTCCAACTTTCTGGCTTTTACCTTAAGGATTGGGAGTCGGAGTCAGAAACAAGCTCGTTTTCCAGTGTCGCGCCTGCAGTCGCAGGGAGTCGTTATCTGCCAGCCCGATCTCCGCAAACTCTGAAAACGAGACCGGCTGGGATACATTGGGGGGTACCTTCTTCTAACGGGTCTTCAGAAACAGGATGCTGTTATTCACGGTTTATACCGGTCCGTTATAGTCTAAGCAATCCTTATTGATTATATCCACTTATCATCTAGGGTGTATTCTTGACATCATACTTTGGAGGTGTGGCTTCTGGAGTTTGGCCGTGATTCTTACAAGGGTCCGGATTTGGGGGGGGGGGGATTTGTTTTGCATGGGCGGGGGGTTGCAAAGGCATGCCCAATAAATAAGTACAGGTTCGAGGCTTGGAACTCAACATGTCGATGGGGGGGGGGGGGGGCGGGTGATTGCTTTAGGGCTAGCTTGTAGACAGGATCTAACACTTACCCATCGAATCACAGAACCTAGAGGTAGGACACTCAGCCCAAACCTAAACTCACATTGCCCTGAGCCTGCTACGGTTCAGGGTTTAGGAGTTAGGATGGCTTCAAGGATCCACGGGAACCAACAAGCCGTCGTTTTGCGGTGGAATCCGGGCGGCCGGTCATTATCATGTTGACTCTCGAAGGAAGCAAGAGCCCATGCACCTACTCCTCGATACGGCATATGGCCCCTGCTGCCCGTACTATACTGGCCTCAACAATTTGAAAAGGGCTTTGGGATATATTCTACTATAGCATTAATCCAGAATCCCAAACTAGTATTGGCAATTTTTTCGGCCCCTACATTACTCTCACTACACGCTTGAGAAACGGAAATACCCGGACGCAGGATCCTTTCTCGGTGGTAGTTATGACCATGCCCATAATTTAGGCCTTACCCATAGGCCCCATAGTAGTTCCTTTTTGGGGTTCATATTTAGAGTCCTAGAGGGTATCCCAAAAAGGAATTACTATGGGGCCTGAGGGTAGTGTTTAGGAGTGTACGGGCTAGGCACAATGTATCAAAGCAGCCAATCCCTCTGCATAGGTAGGTTCAAGCTCCGCAAAGGAAAAAATCCACTGGCTCCTGGACTTAGACTTAGACCAGGATGCCCAGAAACCTGGGAATAAAAAGGGCTCCCTTTTTGGTATTGGGTATCTTTACGAGGAACCTAGGACTGCAGAAAGGGAAAAGGGGCCCGCTGGGAGGCCTAGTAGACTTCGGAAAGCCACCCAAGGAAAGAATACACCGCTGCTGGTGGCTCTCTAGTTGACACGGAGTCACGACCCTAAACCTGAAACCCCTAATACTACTGTCGATGATATAAATCCTGCATTACCTTAAGGAGCCTAAAGTATAGGAATTATGGTCTATTCCCTATTATGGGTAATGCAGGATGTATATCATCAACCGTACCCAAGGCCCTAAACCCCCTTTACACTGCCAGGCCTCAACACCTACGGTAAACCCCATAAAGTTGGAAACCGGATAAACGCCAAATAGTGCCGGGATTCCCTATACATTACTCTTCAGGAATGAGGCTAGAGGGTTTCCAACTTGTTGGCTTCTACTGCAAATCCTAATGCCCCCAAAGCCTTCGGACCCAGCTTCCCTTCGGGTCCAATGATGCAGGCAGCATCTTTGGCTGCAGTTGATAGGGACCCAAAAAGGCATATAAGCATAAGCATTTTGTGGGGATAGCCCTACCTTATGGCCTTCCTTTTGAAGGGGGTTTATATGGGACATCCCTATCCTAATTTTTGCTTATGTGCTTTTTTGGGGCCCTAGTTGAAGCACTGCTGGCCTCAAGAGCCTCAGAGCTGTGTTGGGCTTGGGTTTAGGGTTAGGGGTTTTAGGCCTAAGGGGTCTTAGAAGGGGTTGGTATAAGGATTTCTAGAAAGATCTAGAAGGGCTCATGAAGGTTTCATAGGACTGTAGCAGATCTGCATTGGGACTGTCGGGATGAGCTCGTAGAAGCGGCAGGGCTACAGCAGAAGTGTTCCTAAATGTGGCAATAGCAGCACCGGCAGCAGTGGCAGTTTGCAATAGTAGTCGTCGTCGTAGCAGTCGTGGTCGTAGTAGCAGTAGTAGCAGTAGTAGTAGGAGGAGGAGGAGAGGAGGAGGAGGAGTAGTGGTAGTAGTAATAGTAGTAATAGTCGCAGCAACAGCAGCAAAGGCAGGCACAGGCGCAGGAGTGCAGCAGCAGGACGAGGAGGAGGAGGAGGAGGAGTAGCAGCAGTAGTTGCAGCAGCAGTAGCAGCAGGTGGTGCTGTTGGTGTTGCTGTGGCTGTCTCTGTGGCTGTTGGCTGTTGTTGTTGGTGGTGGTGTTGCTGTTTTTCTTTGTGTTTTCTTGGTGTTGTTCTTGTATGTGGCAGAAGTAATTTAACCAGCAGCAGCAGCTGCTGCAGTTGTGTGATGATCATGAGGAGGAGGAGACTGCGGGTACTTCGCACGAGAAGAGCGAGTTGTAGTTGAAACCCTAAACCCTAAACCGTGGGAGGATCATTCGGCAGCAGCAGGCGGATAGGTGGAGATGGACGAGCAGTATCAGAAGCAGAGGACTCTTGGTCTTTTGGGTTTAGGGTTTTGGGTTTGGGGGTTTAGGGGTTTGGGTTTAGGGATGTTTGCTCAGACCTGAGACAAAAACGTAAGTTTTCATGAGCAGCTGAGCAGTTACAGCTGAAAGAATCTGGGGTTGAGGTCTCCAAGCACGACAAGTCCTCAAGTGTCTTTTGCGGGCTTGGCGAAGAGAATCCAACATACTTGAACTGCCACCTCTGAACCCAAACCCCCAGACTCTAAGATTTATCATCCCAATCCTCGGATTTCGTGCTTTCGGGCCGGAAGTTACCAGAAACCATCTTCTCAGGCAAAGGCCATCAATATCTTCCCAACCGCCTTCGCAGGGGTGTTGACGGTCGAAGAGCAGATGGAAGCAGGCATACGTACAGGTAATCGAGCTAATAACCATACTAGTTTTGATGACAACAGCTCAATAGCAGCCGTTCGAACCAGAGCAAGTAGATAGTACTGCACTAACAGAACTAGTTGGGGTGTATGCAGACAGGCCGTGGGTGGGGAGATGTGTGGCAAAACTCTGCAATCACAACAACCCTGAAGCATCCCCAAACCCCTAACATCACACCCCAAACATAAACCTCACACGCCGACATCTGGAACATCCCCTGGCCGATAGACAGGGGGAGTCTTGCATCGGGGTAGCTTATTTAGGGAACCTTACAAGATTACAAGATAGATTCTACTAAGTATGCAGGGCTTCCGTTGGGGACCCCGGTTTTCTGGAACGCTCATCTTGGCTTAGCGACCAACTTTGGGCGAAGAAATCATCGGGAAGAGTGGACTCCTGCGCCTGGCCGCCTTCCGTTTTGGGGGTTACCTTATAGGACTATAGGATCCTTGCTATATAATTGGTTAAACCAAAAACGGAACTAAGTACAATGGAGACTTTAGGTATGACTCTATCGAACCAGCTGCGACAAGCTTGGGGCTCGCCCACAACCTGAACAGTGCTGACAGCAACCCGTATCCAACACACTGAGATTTCTCCCCACGATTATCCGCCTTCCAGGCGGAAACTGGAGGAGTTGCTTGTCCTCCTCGAGATCGTCCTCGAAGTACCGACGCCTGTCACAAAGCAGTTTTCTGCATCAAGCTGCTTTCTGCTTGCGGCTTATTGGTCTTTGAGCTGTCCGCAGCTGAGTTCATTCAGGCCTGATTTCATCTATAAGTGAGCCTTTCATGGCTTGTAATTCTGGGTCCTGGGGCTCGCTAAAAGTGTCAGGGCTGAAGGTGATGAATAAGGCCAATTCAAGAGTCCCAGATAAGCTCCCTTCATGCTTTTTAAAAGCATTTACTATGCCGCCGGGTTGCCAGAGGCTTGCACTACGCTACTACTGCAAACTTGCGCCGCATGTCATATACAAGCACATGAGATCGTTCGTGTTGTCAACAGCTGCGCACATAAGTATCCCGAAAAGTCCTTGCGGTCCTGATTTATGGTGTTTGGCATCCAAACAGGACCCAAGGTCCTATAAAGGACCCCATCAAGGAACCCTTAAAGGACCCCTTAAAGGAACCCCAAGAAAACCCCTGTAAAGCACCCCCTTAAAAGATGAGTACTTGGAGATGGGCTTTGTGCCTTTGGAGTCGCCGTATATTGGTTTCGGGTTTAGGGGTTTTGGGGCTTTCAAGTCGCTGTAGTTGACTTCGGGTTAAGGGGTGGGCTGTTGCGGCTCGAACTCCGACAAGGTCTTGCTCGGCATGCTTTGTGGGGCGAATTGCAGCTGCAGGCAGAAGGCCAACAACCGGTCAAATCACAGGGTTTGGGGCTTAGAGTTTGTATGGTGACACAATAGATCTTCGACTGCAAGGCCTCAGACCCTAAAACCTAACCAAGCGTCATGCGAAGGCTTCATCTTGAAGAGAATCTTTGTCAGAACGAAGCAAGCACAAGTGACTCTCAAGGTGCGAGGGCTGTGATGCCATGAGTCCTTCAACACCTTCACGACCAACTCTTGGTGGGCATTCCGTTCCTGATTCACCCTATTGGGTCGGCACTGTCATAACCCGAAACAGGAGCTGCTCAACAGTCAACCAAAATGCTAATATGCAGGCCTTAATAATTAGAATAGGGTTTGGAGGCCCATTATACTATAAACATAATACTAGGATACCCAGTAACCTAAGAATAAAAAGGCCTCTCTTTTTGGTATTGGGTAACTTTATAAGGAACCTAGGACTACAAAAGGGGAATAAGGAAGCAACTGGGCATCCTAGAATAAGAAAACCCCCAAAACAGTATTGGTAATTATTTAGGCCCCTATATTAAGCCTGAAAGACCAGACCCCCAAACACAAAAACCCTACACTTCGAGAGGCGTTGGGCTACCGGCTGCAGGTCTATGCTTCGCTCTACTCTTCGGTTCAGGCCGCCACACACTAGGAGGGACAACGTAGTGTTTAGGGTTATGTGGCAGCTAGTTAGCAGTTATACTACGGCCCCTCTATACTAGTGGGGTGGCGCCTAAACCTTCCGGTTTATCTTACCTTTGGTTAGTAGGGAATGGAGGAATGGGGTACAATTACTGTATAACTACAATTCCTACCATTATTCCATTCCCTACTAAGCAAAGGTAAGTAAATTCTAATTATTGAGGCCCCTATATTCTCATACCCTTATGGATCCCTTTTAGTAGCCCTTATAGACCCCTTTAAAGGAACCCTACCTGGTAAGTGATTCCCTAAACCCTAAACCCTAAGGCCAGTTATCAATGCCTCCAGATTTTCAGCCCCAGACTTCGCCGCCCCTCAGGCGCCTGTCTTTCTTCTCGCCAGCTTTGCCTCTTGCAGGGACAGGGTTTACGGTGTGGGTGTTTAAGTTTAAGGCACCCCCCAGAGTTTAGGGAGTAGGGTTTAAGATGTTTTAAGTTTAGGCGGGAATCGTTTCTGCATCACATACCAAGCAGCCAGCAGAGCGGAGCCGAACTTGCACACGCAGACCTTGCCAGAAAATTGCAAATATCACCTCCTTCAAAGATGCTAGTCCTCATGAACATCATACCGGTCATCCCCTTCGCCCTTCGTGAGGTGACTGGGGAGTCCAGCAACAGCAACCATCCGCGACAAGAGCCACTACCACCGCGACATAAACAACAGCAACAACAACTTCTTGTGAAGAGCAAAACAGCTGGCACCACGATGACGAGGAAGTAGGCAAGACGAGGTCCCACACCAGGGCTACCAAAAACACTACTTACTGCTGCGATCCTGTTCTCATCAGGTCAGAATACCGTAAGGTCGCCGAGCAGGAGTAAGAGAGGAGCACAACGAGCAGCAGTAGTCGGAGTAGGGCTAGACGTTGGAGTAGCAAAAGCACTAGCAGTATCAATAGCGGTAGCAGTGGCGGCAGCAGCAGCAAGAGCATGAACCAACAAAATCCGGCCTGATCGGGAACAGCAGAACGTGCAAATGCCGACGCACCCGAATAGAACCTGGCCAAGCTGAGACAGGGCAGGTCGGGGCTTGCATGGCATATCTGTACGGCTATATGTATACGAGAGTGTATATATATATATAGATATACACATACATACATACATACATACATACATCTATAGACATATGTATATATATATATATATATGTACACATAAACATATGTATGTATATGTACACATACATATGTACATATACACATATGTATACATGTATGTTTAAACACAATACACACATATACATACATACAATATATATATATATATATATATATATATATTGTATGTATGTATGTGTATGTATGTATGTATGTGTATGTATGTGTATGTATGTGTATGTATGTGTATGTATGTGTATGTATGTGTATGTATGTGTATGTATATGTATGTATGTATGTATGTATGTATACTGACAGTAACGATACAAACCACATCCAAAATTACAATAGGATTTGGATTTCCTAGATATTTTCTAGGGTATCGGAGCTGTCAGATCGAGGCTTTCAAGACTTCGCAGTGTTTCAAGTCTTAAGGGCTTGGGTGGGGTTCTGCAAGACTTCCCGGCGTTTAGCGATTCATGAACTTGACTTGCGCTGTCTCGGATTTAGGCGTGACCCGATTCTGTGTACCGGCTGGTCCTCCAATTGGGCACATGAAGGGTCTTTGGGGCTCTATCAGCTAAGTGGGTAAGGGCTTCGACACAGGTTAGCAGGTTTATCGTTTAGTGTTGAGTTTTGGGCTTAGGGCTGTTGGGTGTTGAATTTTGGTTTAAGGCTTATATAGGCGTTATGGGTGACTTCAGGTGAGGGTTCCGTATTGAATTCGAGCGCGTGTCAAATGGAAGGTGTAGTAGAAAGTCTGTCTTGTAGCCAGGCATCTCTTACCCTAAACCCTAAGGATGTTCTAGAAATTTTGAAACCTCCGATCCAACACTGTGCGCATCAAAATGACGGAAGCCTGAGGCTAAGACGAGGAAAACCAGAAGGACTCCCAGTCCCAGGCACCACCAGCGATACCTGGAGCTTCGGGCTCGGGGTTGAAGGGTTTAGGGTTTAGGGTTTAGGGTTTAGGGTTTAGAGTTCAGCAGCTCTGACTTTGAAGATTTCACGTCAAGCTATTTCTAATCAAGCTATCTTCAAGAAGAAACCCCACCCGCCCAGAGAATCCCCTCACATTAGAATTAAAAGTTCTATTTCTTTTGGCTTGAATTATTAAATAATAACTTACATACAACTCAAAGAATTTATTACAGTCCGTAAACATTCAAGCTTTCGATCAAGCAGGCCACAGTGCTGTTTCTCTACAGTCGTTAAACCTCAGAAAAGTTGTGACTACTCAAAATACGTTAAACCTTAAAACAATGTGTTGTTCCTGCCGACAGATTCCCAAGAGAACTAGTTAAGAAAGAAAGCATCGCCCGAACCAACTGAAGCTGCGGTCACGCCATCGCTTTACGATAGCAACCATAGCTGTCCAATGTCATGACTTGCATCTCCTCAACTGTCGATCCACAACAAAGCAAGGCCCACCGAATGTTCACCCTTCAGAGACACTAAACTGTAAGAAAACAGTGTTGTTCTTGTCGATGGATAAGAAAGCAGCATTGCCCAAACCAGCTGAAGCTGCGGTCACGACATCGCTTTACGATGGCAACCACAGCTATCGAATTCGATTTCATGTCTTTCAATGTTTCCACATCGGACTGTGTCCACTGCTATGCATCGACTGTAGAAGGAAGGCATTGCCTCAATCAGCCGAGGCGGCGGTCACGCCATCGCTTTACGATAGCAACTACAGCTATCGAATTCGATTTCATGTCTCTCAATGTTTCCACATCGGACTATGTCCACTGCTATGCATCGACTTAAACACTCGGGCCCTAAACCCAAGGCCGCTAAACACTGGGGCCCTAAACCCTAGGCCGCTAAACACTGGGGCCCTATGCCCTAGGCCGCTAAAACACTACGGCCCTAAACCCTGCACCGCTGAACGCTGGCCCTAAACCTGGGGCCGCCAAACACTGGGCCAACCCTAAGCCGCTAAGCACTGAAGCCCTAAACCCATGGGCCGCTAAACACTGGGCCCCAAACCCGAAACACTGGGGCCGCTAAACGCTGGGCCCTAGGCTGGGGCCCTAAACCAGGAACCGCCAAACACTGAGGCCCTTAAACTTATGGGGTGGGGTGGGGGGGTGGGGTCGGTGGAGGGGCGTGGATGGGGTGGGTGCGGTGGGCAGTGGGGTGGGTGGAGTGAGGGGAGGGGGGTGGGGGGTGGGGGTGGGGGGTGGGGCGGTGGGGGGTGGGGTGGAGGAGGTTGGGCGGGTGGCTGGCGGCCCTGGCCGAATCCCCCAGGCCCTGAACGCCACAGCCTAAACCCAGCCCCAAACCCCTAAACCCTAGGTGCCAAGCCCTGGCCCTAACCCAGCTCCCAAACCTAGGCCAAAACCCCTAAACCCTAGGGCCTAAACCCTAGGCGCTAAACCCTAGCGCCCAAACCCTAAACACTGGAAAAACGTCAAGAGCCACGAGTTTTGATCAAGAGCCACGAGTTTTGATCAAGAGCCACGAGTTTTGATCAAGAGCCACGAGTCTTGATCAAGAGCCACGAGTTTTGATCAAGAGCCACGAGTTTTGATCAAGAGCCACGAGTTTTGATCAAGAGCCACGAGTTTTGATCAAGAGCCACGAGTTTTGATCAAGAGCCACGAAGTCATTAGGGTTTAAATTGCTATAGGTAGAGAGGTTTAGGATTTAGGGTTTAGGGTTTTGGGCTTAGGGTTTAGGGTTTAGGGTTTAGAGTTTAGGGTTTAGGGCTTCGGGCTTAGAGTTTAGGGTTTAGGGCTTCGGGCTTGGGCTTGGGGGTTTCTGGGGTACAGGGCTTCGGCTTTGGGGTTCGGAAACCTACTGTTGATGATATAAATCCTGCATTACTTTAAGGACCCTAAACTATGGGAATTATGGTATATTCCTTATTATGGGTCATGCAGGATTTATATCATCAACCGTAGGGTGTAGGGTTCAGGATCTTAGCATGTGGGGTTTTGGGGCTGGGGTGTTTCTGGGTGGACGATTTCGAGCTTAAGGGTTTTACGGTAGGGGCATGGGGTGAGCGAATAAGGACTTAAGGCCTAGGGTATGCAGCTCTCAGAAAATCTGGGAGCTCTTTTGCCGGCTGCTTATAACAAGGTCGCACTATCTAGGATCTACATTCGAGTATGTCTGAAACTCGCATATATGGGGCTCCGGATATGGTTTGAGGGTCAAAGGTTCAGCCAAAACGACTGAGGATAACTGAGGCGTGCTAGACCGGAAAATCAGTATATCACTGCTGCAACTTATTTATAGTAGTAGAGTGCATGAACATTAGCCCGGATCTGACATATCATACCAGTATGCAGCTTGATCAAACATACTGTACCATAGTTCTTGCTGTTATCGCATGCAGGGTAAATATCTGTTTGCCATAGTTCTTGCTGTTATCGCTTGAACTGCACAGGCTTGTAGTTCAAACTCTTCGGAGTTTCAGGCTTCGAGGTTACGGGTTGTAGGGTGTCGCAGCCTTTCAGTGCCTGTTAAAGTTTAAGGGTGTAGGGCTGAGGGTTGCTCAAGAAATCCTAACCCGAACCCAACTCGACTCGATAAACCCTCAACCACAAATCCAAAACCCTCGACTCTTTCAATAGCCCCTGTAGAAACCCTTAACCCTATATCCCTGAAACCCCTAAACCCTAACCCGAAGCGAGCTCTAATGCAAGAGCCCTACAAAGCCATTGTGGAAAGCCCTAAGCCCCGAAGCAGAGCCCATGTATAGTACCCTGAGATAGGGGCCTTCATAATTAGAATAGGGTTTTGGGGGTATTTTCAAAACAACTTAAAGTAACGTAGGGGCCTTATAATAACTAGAATAGGGTTAGGGGTATAGTATACTTTGATTCTAAAAAGGACCCCCCAAAAATAGTATTGGTGATGATTAAGGCCCCCACATTAGGAGCAACTCTAAAGCAAGAAAATAGCCCCTAAACCCTAAACCCCTAAACCCTAAACCCTAAACCCCTAAACCCTAAACCCTTAAACCGTATAGCCCCTAAACCCTAAACCCTAAACCCCACAAGGCCTGGCATAGATGTGGTTGACCTGGGCCTGACCTAAGCAAGCGGAGGCCACGCAGAAAGAGCCTAAGATACTACGGTTCATGACATAAATCCCTAGGCTTCCTTTAAAGGGATCTATAGGGGTACCTTCAAGGGCTTCCTTTAAGGGATCTATAGGGTTTAGGGTTGATGATAGAAATCCTGCATTACCTTAATGACCCTAAACTATGGGAACTATGGTATATTCCATATTCTGGGTCATGCAGGATTTATATCATCCACCGTGTAGCATGGAGGGTTAGGGGTTTTGGGGGCTAAGGGCTTAAGGGGTTTACGGGTTTAGGGTTTTTTAGGATACGTGTATGTATATATATATATATACATATATATATATATATATATATATAGATAGCGAGGCACTGGGACAAACCACGCCACGGGATCGATACAAGGACTCTGTGAAGGAGAAAAACTATCTTAAACTACCGAAACCCACTCTTTTGAGGATTATGTGATAAATCCGAGCATAGAATCTATAGGGGTTCTACAGAGAAGTAGGTTGTGGTAGTTCGAGGTAGTCCTTGAATGGCCAAGTACTCTCTGTTCCAGGACCTTGGTCCCAATTAGGGTAGCGAAAACCAGCAATAAGGACAACTTGGCTCGTCAGGGAGTTTTTCTTAAGACAAACACAACAAGACAGTGGAGACTAAAACAGTAGCCATGACAAGATTACACAACGCCAACGGTTTCAAAGCAACTGCAAACAAACACATGCAGTGCCCCGCCGAACATTGAAACGCCGAGGCTACGCGATCATCTAGTAAGAACTGACGGCTTTGAGCGGTCAGTGCTCACCTAGAGACTCCATAGTAGTTCCTTCTGGGGGGTCATATATAGAATCCTATAAGGTAATCCCGAAAAGGAACTGTTATGGAGCCTATGAGTACATCCAAAGATGCGCCTTAAACTCCAAACCCTGGCATCCACGAAAGTTCGCAGCAGCAATCGGGCATGTTTCATAACAGCAAACACAGCTGTCGAAGATTGGCACGCTGGTCTTGTTCGATTCTTTCCTTGTGCTTGTTGTCATCGTGCGTGCTTGCCTGTTGTGAGAGACGACAGTCTTCTCCTCTTTCTGTATTAAAACTATACAGAGTCGGTGTTAGGATTGCCCGGTTTTGTGGGTTTGGGTTTTAAGACCCTTAACCGTAAACCTCGAATTTTGAACCCTAAACCCTCAACCCTAAAACGTTCAGTTCTCGTGGCCAGTAATATGGATCCGCACTTCGGCCCGGACATTTTCCATCGGGCTGCATGACCTTGACATATTGCAGCTGTTGAGGTTTAGGGTTTACGGGTCAACTGCTTGAGTGTCCGGGGAATTGGGCTTGGGGCTTTCAGCTTTTGACGGTTTTGGGCTTCAGAGCTTCAACAGACATCCATGAGGCTTTGCTGTCTTGGGCTTGAGAATCTCCACAAACCTTCCTGAGCCCCACAAACCCTAAACCCTAAGGCCCGATAGATCCCCATAAGGAACCCTGAAATCTGAAAGGAACCAAGCTATCGAGATCAAAGGGGATGTCAAGCAAGCGTAGCGACTCAGATCATCCAGCGGCTGGTAGTTATATATAGTAGAAGCCAGAAAGTTGGGACATCACTAGCCTCATGCCCTTAAAGTAAAGTATAAGGGATCCTAGAACTAATCCTCCTACAGCCATGTTTCAACTTTCTGGGGTTTACTATAAACAAGCGTAAACAGGCCTGCAAAGTACGCCTTCGGATTTAATCTTGAGGGCTTCGGGGTTTGAGGTTGTGTCGCCTAGACTGGTGCAACTTGCTTGAAACTTTCCCTGTGCTTGAAACATGAATGTCCTTTGACCTGAAGCCGCTGTGACAAGCCCGAGCATGGTCCCACGATACCTGGAGGGTCAAACCCTACCCCTTTTGTTGGGTACCTCGTTTTATGGCTAGGTTCTCTGAAATAGAAAAGTATGTACCTTAAAAAAAAGGGTAGGGTATGACCCTGTAGATATTCTCCAACATCTTGCGACCAACACTCCCCAGAATGCACTAAAAGGCTTCCTGCCAAGCATCCTACCCCCCCGCGAGACATAGCCTCTCCAAAGACGGCGATATCGGGCTACATACTCATCTAGTCTATTCGAATGTTCTTATGGTATTATCAGTAAGAGTATCACTGTATTGCCGTATCGTTACATAGTATTGGCGTCACATGGGACTTTCTACGAAGTGAACCAATGTAGGGCGGATAGGCAGTATAAAGGGTCTCAGGGTTGCGAATCTCAGAACGAAAATGAGACGCTAGACCAGCCCCTGAACCCTATAGCCACCTTTAAACCCTGCAGCCTCAAACCTGGAGCCTGGAAACTTGCACGGGGCCCGGCATATACGAATTCAACGTCATCCGGCACGCACATCTTGCACGACAGCAAGCCGGTGCACACCTGCGGTCGCCACACTCAGCATTTATTGTCGATGTTGTTGTTGGTGGCGATGATGATGATGATGGCGATAGCAGCGACGACAACGAACATGATGATGGTGATGATGATGTTAATGATGATGACGATGATGATGATGAAGTAAGACGACGTGGTTGGCCGCAGTTAAGTTGCTAATGCTCTCGTGCGTCTTAACGATGACGGTGGTGATGATGATGATAATGACGACGGTGGTGACGTTGACGAGTGACGATGATTCTGCCCGTGTCCCTATCCCATCTTGCCTGACAATACCAATTCATTTTGAACTCGCGATGTTTTACACATTCTGCTTCGGCTTCGGAAAACTATTGCTGGCGGTGCCCTTACCAGAGCACTGGCACTTGAAGTGTAAAAAGAGACTATTACTCAAAGTACAGCTAAGCAAAGGCGTCCTCGCTTTGCAACTAGGGTGGTATCTCGAGTCTTGCGACAGCGGAAGAGACCAGTGGATGGGTTAAGGGCACCGGCTGAAGTGATTTCAGTCATCTGGGGCAGCCATCCGTTGGACGGTTCTATTGTTGCTATGCGTATATAGTACCGGCGGGCATACTAACCTGACCTGGCTAAGCCTTCTGCCAATCGCACCTTGCAGTTCGTGTTGCAGCGAGAACATCGCTGGCTCACCAGATTGCGGTAGAAGCCTGGAGAAGTCATCATTGGATGTGGCGCAACCCAGTTCTGAGAATTCAACTGCTCGCGTGCTGCTCGATAGGAGTGAACGAAGGGCCTTTATGTAGACAGCATCCGTACTGGTGCAAACACATTCCACCAATCACCTATAGCGACACCCTTGGGAGTTTCCGAAAACAGGGACCCTAATATAGTACTCTAAAAGTGGGATCCTTGCTATAAGGACCCCGAAATCAGGTACCCCTAAGTTTCGCAAATTCTGAACCGCTTATAAAGCCCTATAAAGGAACCCTTATAGTACCCTTCTAGTAACCCTTTAAAGGAACCCTAAGGTACCCCTAAGTTTCGGAAACTCCCACTTCAGAAGCAGCAGCTCTGCTGCGCGGCCACGGCTGAATTTGCACGTGAACAAGGGAGACTACGCTAGTCGGACTTCCAGTAGCATGGTAGTGGTACCTTTGAGGACTTCTTTAAGTGTTCCTGGAAGATGATATGAATCCTGTAAAGGAATCTATAGGGGTTCTTTTAAAGGGATATATACGGGTTTAGGGTTGATGATATAAACCCTGGATTACCTGAATGACCCTAGCCTATGGGATGTACGGTATATTCCCTACTATGGGTGGTGCAGGATTTATATCATCAACCGTAGTGACAGTGGGTAGCGGTGATGACAGTTGTAGCGGTAGCGATTGTCTGGTATTGGTGGTAGCAGTAGCAGTAGTAGTAGTAGTAGTAGTAGTAGTAGTAGTAGTAGTAGTAGTAGTAGTAGTAGTAGTAGTAGTAGTAGTAGTAGTATTACTAGTAGTAGTAGTAGTAGTAGTAGTAGTAGTAGTAGTAGTAGTAGTAGTAGTAGTAGTAGTAGTAGTAGTAGTACTAGTAGTAGTACTAGTAGTAGTAGTAGTAGTAGTAGTAGTAGTAGTAGTAGTAGTAGTAGTAGCAGTAGTAGCAGTAGTAATGCTTGTAGTTCACAGTTCCTACTCCCCCAACAAGCCACAGTCATAAAAGGTTAACTTTCTGATTCCTACTAAACTCTAAGAACCCAAAGAGTTTAAAGGTTGGGAATTGGGGATCTAGGTGGGGCTTTTAGAGCCTTTGAAAAATATTAGTAAATAAGGTCCTCTTAAGCCCAATAAGGGAAAATATAAAATGTCCCAAAGCCCTACCTAGGGATCTACGAGCTCTTAAACCCCACGGCCCAGACCCCGCTGAGAGCGAGACCTTCCGGACAGAAGTTGACGCAGTTCCTATCGGTCGTAGCTACGGTTTAGGGTTTAGGGTTTTGGGGTTTTGGGTTTAGGGTTTTGGGTTTAGGGTTTAGGGTTTTGGGTTTAGGGTTTAGCTGAATTCGGAATTCAGGGTTCAGTTCTTAAGAAGGCTATCCAGGTCCCTGAGTAGCCCCTTTAAAATACGGGTTCCCTTTTTCCTGATATTCAGTTTCGATAAGGGAACCCTAAAATACAAGTGCCAAAAGGTACTACTCCGGAACCTAGTTATGGATTCGGGGTTCAAGGCCCTAAACTAAACCCTAAACTATAAGAGCCATTGGCCTAGGATTCAGCAAAAAGAGAGCTCCTGCAGTTGCTTTTAGGCACGATCCTCATTTACAAAGACTCAGGGTGAACCCTACTTTGGTCAATCACCATGTAGCATCATGTAGCGGATGTGGAATTGTTGTGAAAGTTGCTGCGAGCTGTTATTTCTTGCCGATTCTGCCCCCAACCGAGGAATGAGCATACCCACCAGCATTGAGAGTTCGGTACCAACCCAAAGCCCCTAAACCCTAAACCCTAAACCCTACACCCTAAACCCTAAACCCTAAACCCCATACTCTTCAGCGGGCTGCAGGGATGCTGGAACTTCGTGTTGGGGTGTCGGCATTTACGCTGTCTTCCGTTTAGGGTTTAGGGTTTAGGGTTTAGGGTAGACCGGTTGGCTGAAGACTTTCACTAGCATGGGCGTTGCTTTGCCACCTTACGACAATGAAGCCGGAGAGCACAAACCTTCTTTGCTCATGAATATGTCTCAAACCATATAGGGATTCTGGACATATTCCTTAGTTGAAAGGTGCTGGGCACTCTGGAAAGACCTGGAACACCCAACCTGCCAACCTTCTGCCTCTAACACAATGAGTTTTGGTCGTATAGGGTCAAGGGTTTAAGTCATTAAGACTTCGGATTTCAGGTTGCGGGGCCCTAGCTGCCCAGGCTCTAATCCGAATTCAGCTCGCGTTTTTCCAAGGGGCTGCACAGACTGAGGGATGCTTGAACTTTTTCTACTCAACCCCTAAGGGTCCAAGTACCCAAATAGTAGCAAGATCCAACCATTCAGAGAATGGATTTTGGGCCCGACAACCCTAATATTTGGGCACATGGACCCTTAGGGAACTAATATTGGAACCTGCTTAAGAAACTCTGGATCTCTACCAGGGGCCTGTAGATGAATATGCTGAAAATGCTGTTGACTTTGGGCCTGCAGCACAAGCTTGTTTAAATTACGGCCCCGTTTAGGGTTCCCTTCAGAGCCCTAATAAACCCCAAACCCTAAACCCTGAACCCCTAAACCCCTAAACCCCAAACCCTGAACCCTAAACCCTAAAACCCTAAACCCTGAAACCCGAAACCCCTAAACCCTAAACCCTGAATCCCTAAACCCCTAAACCCTAGACCCTGAACCCTAAACCCTAAAACCCTAAACCCTGAAACCCTAAACCCTAAACCCTGCCCTAACCTAGAGAAGTACCCATGTCGCAACCTGAAGATCCCTGTCGAGCCCTTAGCTAAGGGGCCCAAACCCTTGACCCCAAAATCTGGCTTACGGTTGAAGGCCGGAGCTTGCCAACACATCCGAGACCCTATACCCTACCTTTAGTAACAGTGTTTAGGGTTTTTTTGTGGCTTAGGGATTAGTAGGGTCTTTAGGGTTTAGGGTCTACCTAGACCCCCCAACTACACTCTAATATATACCCCCCCCCCCCCCCAAAAAAAAAAATACTCCACTATTGAGGGCCATAAGGGCTCCTTCCTCGGGTCCTGGTATACACCCTAAACCCTAAACCCCTAAACCCTAAACCCTTCACCAACGGCCTCGTCAGCGGGTCGAAGAAGGGCTTGTCCGGTTGGCAGTTGCTCCGCTTCAGTTGCCTCAGGTGTGGAAGCAGAAAAGCCTGGAGTATGCAGGGTATCCAGGGGTGTCCACGGTTTAGGGTTGAGGGTATAGTTTATACTTTTGGGCCCCTTCAATACCTACTACTAGGTACCTACTATGATGGTACTTGGACCTTCTGAAGTACATTACAGTGCCATGTCATCTGGACTTTTTAAGGATAGGAGGACAGATCAGAAGCCCTTCCTTAACCCTGAATATCCTACCTGTTTCAGGTCTTATGCAAGGAAATAAAAACGTAGGTTTTTGCGGGTGAAGGTAAATCTTTCCTAGCGGGATTTTGCAGACTCTGGAAAAGGTACTGCTACTACTACTACTACTACTACTACTACTACTACTACTACTACTACTACTACTACTACTACTTCTGCTACTACGACGACGACGACGACGACTACTGCGATCCGCCCCGTAGACCCTAAACCCCCTAACCTTTCAACCCTAAACTTCCAAACGGAAGACTCCTAAAAGTCCTTCAAAGGGGAAAAGGAGGGACCCTTAATGGGGACCCCTACTCTATAATGGGCTATATAATGGGTATATAGTTACTATATTACGGGTATATACCTAGGGGTCCTTTTCCACTTTGAATCCTTGATCCGACACCGCTAAACCCTAAACCTTTCCTTTCGCATTCTTGCAATCACCCATCAGCCTCAGTGCGTCGGCTATAGCTAGGCGTCAGAAGTACCTTACTCGGAGGCCCAGGGGAAAGGGTTGCGCAAGGGTTTTTTAGGGATCTATGAGGGTTTACAGACACATCAAACCCAAAACTAGTCTGGCATCAGGGGTCTCGGGTATATCAGGCCGTATAACGTTTATGGGTTTAGGCTTAGGGTTGATGGTTTGTCCTCAACCCCAGAGCCCGGACCGAAACCGAAAAACCAAAACCCCAAAGCCGAAACCGCCAGCCCGGAGAAATCTGCAGGCTGCTGGCAGTGTGTAGGTGCCGATGCTGGCCTCTGCGGCTTGAGGCTTTGAAGGTTTACTTAGAGGCCCAGAGGACTTAGTAAGTAAGTAGATTACAACAAAAGACATATGGGTACCCTAAGTTACCCCCTACTTATCTTAACTGACTTACGAATCTACGAAGTCCCCTGGGCCTCCAAGTTTAGGGTCTAGGGCCCAAAGAGCCGAATTTCCCAGAATTAAAACAGCATTACTGAAACTAGACCTTCTCTAACTCAGGCAGGTACTAAACCTCAACCTTAAACCTTCCTATAAGTTTTTGTGCATATCCATTGGCTCCATAGTAGTTCCTTTTGGGGATTACCTGGATTCTATATATGAGCCCCCCAAAACGAACTACTATGGAGTCTCTAGGTTGTCTAGTGAAAGGGAGATTGGTCTCCCTATGCAGTCAGGCTTCGGGTTCGTAACTGTAGACGCTTACTGCACGCAGAGCGCAAGTTGCCGGCGGCGACAAGCTCCAAGCCGAAACGAAGCACATGTCAAGGGTATACCCGGACCCCAAGAGTATGTAGAACCGTAGCCTTTTTATGGGTTCCTGGGCCATCATGATTTTTCCTGCTTTGGGTTTAGGTAGGGCTCAGGGCTTGCAATAGGGGCTCGCTACTGGTCAGGATCTGCTGAACTCTTTCCGAGGCTGCAGACCCCAAACCAAAAACCTTCAGCCCAGCAAAAGACGGCGGCCTGTGTGGGATCTGCACATTGGATGGTGAGAGTCACATTCCGCGTAAAACCCGCATCCAACCTTGGTTCGGGGCTTATCAAGGGTTTGTGTTCCACGTCTAGCTTGTACAGGTGGTTCGCGCCAAGCTCTGCCAGGCATGCGCATGGCAGGAGCTTGTTTCGAGACTTACTAAATGCCTTCTCGGGAATCAGGGTTTTGGGTTTAAGGTTTAGGAACTGGGGTTTAGGATGGCTTAGGGCTTAGAGGATTCCGGGCTTAGGGTTTTAAGGGTTTGTAGAGTTTCAGATGTAAATTTCGGAGTGAACGTTCAGATATTTCAGGCTTTGGTCGCAGAATTCGTCTAAGCCCGGGCTAAGCCCCTAAACCCTGAACCCTAAAACCTAACCCCTCAACCCTAAACCCGTAAACCACCAAACCCGAAACTACGGGGCCCGACGTCTCCGGCCTTTGGTGTCCCCCCGATGCCCGACTTCATCCAGGCCGCCTCGGCCCCAACTCCTAAAACCATCCATAAGGCTTTAGGGGTTTAGGGATAAGGATTTAGGGGACTAGGGATCAATCAGGGTTTAGGGGTTTAGGGATTAGGGATTAGGGTTTAGGGACTAGGATTTATCTACCCCAAATACCCACTATTAAGGGCCGTAAGGACTCTATTAATCGAGTCTTCGGGGTCCTGGTAAAACCGAAACTGTAGTACCTTTGTGGGGCCGAAGTGACAAAGTAGCTGAGAATTTCTTTCAGAGGTGGGGCAAGGCTCGCGAGCCATGTGATGGCAGTAGCAAGCTGCGTGTAGAAGCGCTCGCTGTCGTCAAATGTCCTGCCAAGTTGAACTGGATTTGATTGGCCAGCTGTGCTTCAAATCGCAAATTTCCAAAACGCACTTTTTGTCACACCCTGCTCTCAGCCTTGTCATGCCTGCCATCGTGACCCGTGAGAAGTTCCTGAGCTGCGGTGGAGCAGCTTTCAGAAAGTTCAAGCAGCATGATGGCGGTCTTCAAGTCGCAACGAGGATATGTCTGCCGGTGTTTTCAGCCAGGAAAAGACATGATCCTTGAAGGACTTACTGAAGCCATCAGCATTTTCACCCGGATATGGCAGTGGATCTGGGGAATGGAACAACATGAAGGCCTGTCTCATGAACTGCCTCACCGCGGGCTCGGGGATCTGAATGCCAAGGTCACTCTGAGCTGATTCTAGCTCCTCACGCATCATTCTTCTTATCGGGGGCCCGCTGACCTCAGAGATCGCGTCGAGCAAATTCGCGTAGTACTCGAACACATTTCCTCGGAAAGGCTCTGTGGGAATGGCCTCCGACTTCACATGATACTCCCCGTCCTCGCTCTGAACGTCGCTGCCTCCGACCTGGCTGCCCTCTGAGAAGATGGAGGTGCCGTCTGAGGAGATACAAGAGGTCGAATCCAACTCGGCGTTCTCGCCCGTGTCTTTCTGCAGCTTCCACCAAAGGCGACGAATTTCCCCCCAATTAGAAGCGCTCAAAGTGCAACCAGTCAACCGCTCGACCGTTGTGCGCGACGGGTTCCACAACTCACGTCTGACTGTCTCCTCCTTCTACTTGTCGGGTATCATGCATGACTAAAGGTTAACCTTTTTGGTTGTATAGGCATTATATAGGGGCAATACTACCCAAAAAAATTAAAGGTTACTTACTCTTCTACTAGGTCCTTTTTGGCAACTTTCTCGATCCATGGGCTTCCGGGGTCCAACCCTCTGGCGACCGCCTGCTGCAACTCGAGTCTAGTTGACTCAGGGTATCCACTGAGCATGGCGAGATTTCACGAGCAAACTGAAGAAGCAACGGGTATTCTGAACCAAACGCCTGCCATTGATGGAGACGGCTAGATTTACGCGGTAGCAGGGGCATCTCTTAAAGTAAGTTTGCGCTCCACAATAAGGGCTGGGGAACACCTCCCCAGCACGGGCTCTGCTTTCAATTGTCCGCATCAGCTTCGACTGCGTAACCCTCGAGGACCCTAGCAAGTGTCGGTCCTCTTGGCACTTGTGCAAGTCGCAGACTCGCAGAAGTCGCCGCGGACGATTGCCGGAAAGGAAATTTCCACAGGGCCGGGCCGGGCTCTGTGTGACAGTCACATGGTTGCCCTGCGAACCGGACCCTGCTTACTTTGGATTGATAGCCTGACCTTCGAGACGATGATTTTGATTCGCATTGTTCGATACATTCCGGTGTGAGCGCTGCTCTCGAGATAGAGGACTTGTTCGGGATCCTCGTCTAGGAGGTGCTTTTATAAGCCTTTGCAAAATGTTAGTTGGTAAGATCCTCTTAAGCCCAAGAAGAGCAAATATAAAATGTCCCAAAGCCCTACCTAGTCGTGTTGCTGATTCAACTATGATGTTCGCGGGAATTGTAGGGGGGGAAGGTAGAGATGGCCCATGAAAGGATGGGATAGTGACAGACTGCTGGTATTCTTACCCAAAAGGGAAAACGCCCCGCCAACTAAATACCCACGATTTTTCTACCGTTCCTCTAAGGCATAAGGGTGCTGTTTATAGGAGTTTGTAAGGTTTTGGTATAGTGGCCTTGACAGATAAAACCGTTTTTTGGGGGTGCAGTATGATATTCGTGTACAATGGGTACGTTAAACCCCTTTATCCAAAACCTGAACGCTGAAATCATCAACCCGCTCTGAGCGTCATGGCATGAAGTTCGCCGTAGCATCTTGATACTGCACCTCCAGCACAACCCTAAGGCTCTAAGGGTCCATGTTCCCAAAGAGTATATATGCTTTGGCCGCAAAGTACCTACATAGAGGCTACTTTGAGGCCAAAGTATAGACTGTTTGTGCACATGGCCCATTAGCACAAGTACGCGACTCAGGGCTTGGTGCGCATCAGGTCGGCTTTGGCGAAGGTGAAGCAAAGCAGCAGACCCGAGAGCAGCAATCCAGACTGCAGCAGCAGTGGTAACAGTAGTGTACTATAGCGGCCTTAAGAGTTCGAGTAGGGCTTGGGGGTATGTTATGAATAATCAGGAACCCCCAAAATAGTGTAGGTACAGTAATAAGCCCCCTACATTATTACTGCAACCGTTTAGCTGCAGCCACGGCCGCAAGAACAACATTTCACTTGCACCACTTACACCTTAAACTTGAAGCCAGTGCCCCTCCGCCAAAGGAACATGTACTCGAGGTTGGAATGCAGGTTCGAAGTACCCGTGCCTATACTAGAGCTCAATGGGAGGGTGTTAAACTTGCTCCTTCCAAATCTTGCACAAGAGTAGCTGATAGAAGTCCGACCGTGCAACTATATAGTATATAGTAATATAGACTGATGGATCCTGATCGTGCGAGTATAGCTTTGGGGTAAATGTCTTCAGGCATACTCTGCGGCTAACATGCCAAAGCTCTTAACCCTAAACCCTCAACCGTCGCCGCCAGCGTCCGACTTCTCACGTCTTTATTGCTTACTAGACGTCTCCCGCAATCTATCCTGTTCACAAAACCAAGGCCCAGCGTACGGGCCAGCAAAACCCCAAACCTCCCTGCACCTAAACCCTGACCCTAAACCCCAAAAGACCTTAGCCCTGACCTTATGCCCTAAACCCCTAAACCTTAAACCCCTAAACCCTAAACATCACCTACACCCTGAAGAGCAATCCGCAAACTTTGGCTCGGCCTCTCCACTTGACTGGTGGCTCGCTGCACCCCTTGGCTTGGAAGGATATGGAGCAAGTGGGCAGCATGGGACTTAGGGTTTAAAGTTTTGCGTTGACAAGTTGAGGCTTTGGGGCATGATGCTGTCTGGGATTTCGTCTTTTGTTTGGTGCATTCTTCACGAAAAGTACGCAGAACGGAAGACTCCAGCTGTTGTGGTTACATGATGATTCACGGGCCCTTGGCAGAGGGTGCAGCTCATACTTGCAAGTAAAAATTCACTAGATGAAACCGAGTATAGTAACCTCAAAATGCCCCGGGTTTGCCGAAACTTGAAAGTAAGTGTGTGTGTGTGTGTGTGTGTGGATATATATAGAGAGAGATATATGTATGTATGTGTATATATATATATATCCCAAAATCTGCTCCAAACAATCTAGGCATCTCCCAGTCCTGAAAACAAGCAGAGCTACACCACGCAGCGAGAATGAGCCCGAAGTGTGTACAACACGAGTCCGAAGTGTGACTTGGGTACTGCCCGCATACATTACGATTTAGGAAATGGGGTTTAGGGCTTAGGCTTGAGGGTAGTCTATAATAGGGCTATTGAGGGCCGAACCCGAAAACTTCACTCACTTAAGACGTTTACCAGCCAACAAGTAATGATGCAAAGACCCACCCTAAACCCTAAACCCTATACCCCTAAACCCTAACCCCTAAACCCTACACCCCAAATCCTGTCCCGAAGCCCTAAACCCTGCGCCGGCATCGTAAAAGCCATAAGCTCTGAAACCTAAACCCTAAACCTTAAAACCCTAAACCCTAAACTCCAAGCCCTGAAACCCTCTAAACCCTAAACCCCAGCCCCAATCCGAAACCTGAAGCCCTAAACACAAGGGAGTTTCTGAAAATTAGGGGTACCGATAAAAGGGATCCTGTAAGGGCTCGTTTAAAGGGATCTATCTATTTAGGGTTTAGGGTTTAGAGCTTCCGAAAATTAGGGGTACCTTCTTTTGGGTTCCTTATCATAAGGATGCTACTATATTAGGATCCCCTGTTTTCGGGAACTCCCACAACCCTCAAACCCTGAACTCGGGTCTTGCAGACCAGGTCACTCATCCAGACGGCGAGAGCCGGTCAAGACCTCTCGCTTGCCCCAGCTCGTCGATCGAAGCTAGGGTTTAGGGTTTAACGGTTTAGGGGTTTAGGGTTTAGGGGTTTAGGGTTTAGGGTTTAACGGTTTAGGGTTTAGGGGACAAGTATGTACAGATTACGATGGAGGCTTGTAAGGCTACAAAAGAGTTTTGGGGGTTCTAGGGTGGTGAGAGTTACGTCACTGAGTCGCTCAGGCTTTTTGCGGCTTGCGGTGTCCTCCTGCAACCAGCAACCTTGAAGAACAAACAGCCGCAAACACATGGGTAGAAAGAAAAATCAGGGTCCCTTTTTGGGTACCCTAAATAATAGGTGGCGTACTATATTAGGGACCCAAAAAAGGGACCATAATTTTGACAACCACCCACATGGAAATGGCAGCAAGAATATCCTTCTCTCGCGCGGGCGCCTTAGGAGCTAAGACCTTGCACCCACGGCCCCTATGCTCTCACTAGGACCTCAAAGATTGCAGAACGGGCGGACTTAGTGTTAAGGTTAACGTTTTGAAGTTAAGTCGGGTTAAAGCATGGTACATGCAACAGAGCACAGAATTGGCACTACATGCATCATCACCATCGAAAGCAATCTTGCAGCAGAGAAAAGCGAAAAACTTTGCTGTATCAACAGCACAGAAATAGCACCGATACTGTGGAGCACCCCTGGGAAGATATCAGTGTTGCCAGCAGATAGAGACAGAGGCGACAGTAGCATGCTGACTGCAGTGCCAACAAGAAATGAACTCAAAACCTGCGTCGTTCCCTCTGAGGTCCTCTTGCCCTGCACTGATTCGCAGCCGCTGCTCGTTGTCCCGCAGCCGGTACCTGTCTTTATCTAAACACTAAGCCGAAACCTGCTGAAACTAGAGGAGGTTCTGATTCAACAGCCAAATCTGTAGGCTCAGGTGCAATGATTTTCAATGCTAGCGGGGCACATGGGCCGTCAAGTATCTGCAGTATTTGGAAAAGCCCTTGTGAAGCCAATGAGGTCAATGAAGGGACTTGATCGGTTCAAAAGGGCTATCAAAGCATGAAAGGTATGGGGACTATAAGAAGATACGCACGGTCCAATCTCCTATCCCCAAACCCCTATTCCAGACACAGCGCAAGTTACATTGGCCACACTGTCAATGGTTTTGCATACCGGCTTCTCAGCTTATAGGATCCTTAAGGGAGGGTGGTTCAAGGGGGGAGGGTACAAGGAATCCTTAGGGGAACCTTAGGGAGTACTAGGCAGAGTTAGGGATCACTAGGCCATGTACCCCCCTTGGAGCCCCCTCCCTTAAGGATACTATAATCAGCTCAATGTCGTGCCCATGCCCGGCGGGGGGCACCGGATGCGAGCCTCATCGGCGCCTTTGTCCAGGACGACGGTGTAAGCTCTGGTCTGCCGGGCAAAGAAGCTGAGGGGGGAATTGGATCCTGATATCAGGGTTTATGGCTCTGGGTAAACTGCGCCACTGAAACCATAAACCCATGTTCACTACAAACCCCTAGACTCAGCCCTAAACCCTAAACCCTAAACCCTCAACCCTAAACCCTGAACCCGCGACCACGTATCAGGGATGGCTCAGAGTCTGGTGTGGCTTTGTTCTGATGTGACTATTGGTAGGCAAACGACGCCGAACTCCGTTTATGGCTTAGGATTGAGAGCCTATATAGACTATAGACCCTAAAGGCTTTACCATACGACTGCCGCACGACTTCGTCGGACATACAAGCCCCACCCGCTGCCCTAAGCGGCATCGTTGATAGGCGCAAGTATGCTCAGGGGCTGAATACCGTAGCCCAAGAAAGATTAACCTTATCAACGATGGTAGGATTCTTTTCCCCGCAAAAGGTTATAGGCTACCTACTCAACTACTAAGTATCTTATGGGGGCTTGCGGGATGGCAGAGGACGAAGTTCGATTCTTAAGGCTCCTCCGTGAGATACACATAGGCTCCATAGTAGTTGATTCTTTGGTTGACATGTAGACTCCTATAAGGTAGTCCCCAAAATGAACTA